CCCCAAAACCCCAAAACCCCAAAACCCCAAAACCCCTTTAAATAGATATTTAATTGAACTTTAAGCAAATCTGCTTGACAAATATGCCCCTATTCTTCAATGAAATCAACTACGTCTTGTGCATAAGGGAGTGAAGGCATTGCACCAAACTTGGTAATGCATAAGAAAGCTGCAGTGTTTGAGTACTCTACTGCATCTTTTAAAGAACATCCCTGAGCAAGCTTCAGAGCAAAACAAGCCGTGAATCAATCACCAGCCCCAGTGGTGTCAATTATAGATTTTCCTTTAAAATCTGTGACTGCTGGGGCTTCTAAGGTGTAATCTTGACTGATAAATGCTGATCCATTTGCTCCAAGTTTAAGAAGAATGCTAAGATTTGGAAATTTCTCTCGAAGCTTTGCTGCATTATATATCCCTGAGAGAGACTTATCAAAATCAGAGCCAAGTACTCGTTCAAGTTCAGTTTCATTTGGAGAGAAGATATCAACTCTTTTGAGCAGATCATCTGAGATAGAAGTGTCCATACCTCCTGCATCTAAGACAACAGTTACATTGTTATCTCTAGCAAGTTGTGCTGCTATGATGTTTACATGCTCAGGGATTTCTCTTTGAAGAAGCAAAAGCTTACTATTCTTGATCTTCTCTGTGAATGTGTCATTAAGTTCTGTAAGACCCTCATCCCAGTTTGTGTTCGCTCCCCCATGAATCACGATAGAGTTTTCTCCATCAGGCATTGAGAAGATATAAGCCTGACCTGAGGGCGTATTCTCAAGAACTACAGGATGTGGTGAAGCTCCTGATTCTCTAAGTTCCTTCAAAACCATATCCGCTATCTCATCAGCACCAACTTGGCATAAGAAATTTGTTGTAACCCCGCTACCAGCAGCCAGCCTAGCCAAGGCTGCTGCCTGGTTGGCTCCTTTACCCCCACTGGCTTTGGTGATCTCGCTGCAAGCGATGGTCTCCCCAGCCTTTGGGAGATTCTTCACTTTCATGAAGATATCTCCATTAAGTGAGCCTAAGACCGTGATCTGATCTTGATCCTCCATCGTTTTCTTAAAATATTTACCAATAATTTTCTTGAGAAAAGGGGTTTTGGGGTTTTGGGGTTTTGGGGTTTTGGGG